GGACTTGAAACGTTAACTCTGATTTTCTCTTCACAGATGCTGCCAGACCTGCTGAGCTTTTCCAGTAACTTTTATTTTTGCTTCACATTTACATTTGCATGTTGAGTTTGAGGAGGACTCAGTCATATGTTCCAGCCACAGAGTGTGAAGGCGTGGGGTTCCAACCCCACTCCAGCCAGACCTGGCAAAAGGGGGCCAAAGCTCCCATCTCGGAATATTGGCTCACTTTCCAGTGTGATACATGCCTCGGGCTAGAATGCCTTGAATGGTGAACTTCTCCCCACCAGCTCCTCATTCTATTCTTAGATGGGGAATAAAGGAATCATTGTAATGATCTCTCCCTGCAAAGACAAGGGCTGGCTGATGCTCCCAGGTGTGGAGGGGCATCTAAGCGAAACAAAGGATGACAAAGGGGTCTCAAATTCAAGTACCCATTGCAAGCCTCAGACATTCTTCATTGAGGTATGGTGCAGCTAGATGCAAAAACATCTCTCCTCTGTCCCAGTAACTTGCCTCAGCTCCAGACACAGGGGAATCATTGCCAGTTCAGCAGGAAGATATACAACTACTCTTAGTCTGAGTGACAGTATCAGTGAGTGGCTGGGCTCAAGCCACCAGCAACTTGGCCAAGTATGCCCAATACATTTTGTTTCAAGCCTTCCAGCAGGATTCCCAATTCTACTGCATATGGCGCCTCAGTGCTCTAAATAGTGGATACTGAGTGAGTGACTATGGAGGATATATGGGGGCATGGAGGTGGCATGTGGAATTTGATGGGGTTCAAGGTGGCATGCGGGATCTGAGGGGATGTGAGGTAGCCTGTCAAGTGTAGGGTGATGGGTGAGCTTTAGAGAACCTTTAACCAGTGTTGAAAGTTGAGGTGATGTAATGGGGAGGGGAAGCAGGCCTGTTAACCCACCCCTATACAGTCAGAATCATTCTGCACCCAATCGCACTCATCACTGCACTGCAAACATAAACCTGAGCAAAGAACCACAAATCCAGGGTAATGTCATTCATAGGTCAAAGTATGCAGTTCAGAAAGTGCAAAGGTGTGCAAACTGCATGTTTCTGAATCTCAACAATTTCTGTGTGTCTATATCATGCTTCTCGCACACTGGGTTGGGTTTTCAAAATGGTGCTAGAAATGGTGAGTGGTGCACTTGTCATCTTCTCCAGCACCATACCATCTTACCAGTGACAGGAATGGGAGCAGACTTCCTACCTATCCACAGTCAATTAAGCTTCAGACAGAGTGAGCAGACCAACAGATAAACCCTGGTGACCTCCAGGCAGCTTCCGTCGGGGCATGGAGCCTTCTTTCCAGGCACTTCTTGACCATTGAAGGGTCATCCAGTGGTAATGCCTATGCCCACACCAATGAGGTTTCTAGCCCTCACCTAGATGACTGGCCCTGGTTTCACTGGAGTGTGTGTAGATCCACCAATTTGCGCCCAACCTCCAGGTGCAGACCCAGCAATGGCCATTGATAATGGTGGTGGTGCTGCGCCTGCTGAGATGCCAGATTTCTGATTGACTGGCAGTTCATGGGGGTAGACATTCATCCTTCTACTAAAGGGAATGACGGCTGCAATGACAGTCCAACCTATTGGTCAGCAAAGATGAAGGGGCCACTCTCCCAGCAGTCACCAACATCAAACCAAGGCCTTTAAGAATACTCAATACAGTATTTAATTTGTCTTCTGTAGAGTTGTAACTGCAAAATGTAAATTGACACCTACATCAGTACTGACAGGAGCATGGGATCCTGACTTCCCACTCCCAACACGCCCACCCACATTCTCCAGGTCATTCCACCTGCATCACTCACGACTATCCATCCATATTACCAACACATCCTTACCCATACCTCCACAACCCTTTTCCCATATCTCCCTACACTCCTGCTACACTACACATTCCTCTGCCATAACCCCACACCCCTAGCCCACATGAGACTGACATATGACAAAAAATGTGTAAAGACTTTGGCTCTCCAGCCTTGAAGGGAGGATCCCACACAACCTTCACAGCTAAGGTAATGAAAACAAACACAGCACGTTTAAACTGGAAGCTCAGTACAGCATGGCTATCATGAAGTTCTTCACATACATGGAGTGGTCACCATATGTAATAATGGTTCATGTTGGTCTTAAAGTATTAAGGAAACTTGCTCAATAGATGGGAAATATTGTTACAACTGGAAGAATTGGTGCTATTAATTATCCCCAAAACTAGTCACCTAACAGCATGAAAAAGACACATATCAGTGGATGGCTCCAATCAGAAATAGTGCTACTGCATTCCCCTCACATCTGGATGTTGCAGTGCCAACTCCTGGGGCTGCAGAACTTAAGTTGAGTTAATCATATGCTAGGTAATACGGTACAGTCAGAATTTGAGAACAGGGTGAGCAGTGTTAGTGATGGGTGATTCAGCATTCATCCGACTGGACGTTTTAGCAGGTCCAACCACTTTATTACATGCTGTACACTTCAGCAATTAATAGCAGTGCCTGTGTTTGAATATTAACATTGAGACTTTCCTAACTACAGTTTAATGATTCTTTTCATTACTCTAACCTCTCTGTGATCTCCTGTCATTGTTGTTTGTTGATTTTCCAAAAACTTCCTTAAATGTGAGGGAACCTTTCTTAATTTTCCTTTCAACATCTCTTTCAGATTCTACTTTGTACAGATTTTTGCTTCTGTACATGATACACTCATCACCTATTTAGCAGAAAGGAAAGACTTGCATTTATGTAGCACCATTACTATCTCAGGCTATCTCGAAGCACTGAGCGGCTATGGAAGTACATTTTGAAGCACAGTCTCTGGTCTAATGCAGGAAATGTGACAGCCAATGTAAACACAGTAAACTCCAACAAACAGCATAGAGGTTATGGCCAATAATCTGCTTTAGCATTGACTGAGGGATAAGTATTGGCCAGGTCACCAGGAGAACTGCAAGAACTGCAGATGCTGGAGTCAGATATAACACAGTTTGGAACTGGAGGAACACAGCAGGCCAGGCAACATCAGTGGAGCTCTTCTGATGCTGCCTGGCCTGCTGTGTTCCTCCAGCTCCGCACTATATTGTCACCAGGAGAATTCCCTGCTATTTTTCAAATTGCGTTGTGGGATCTTTTACATCCACCTGAGATGGCAGACGGGGCCTCATTTCAAACGACAGCGGCTCTGACGGTGTAGCGTTGCCTCCATACCGACATTGATATGTTAAAGACATTTCATTCTGGTTTGAAACTTGACCCTACAATCCATTTTCTCATTTTTGTTCGCTCCAATTTAAGGCCAGTAGTTCCAAAAACGCCTTTCCTGAAATCAAGTGCTTTCACTTAACAACCCTGTGCTAACACTGTCTAATTGCATTATTATGATCAATGTTTGTTTATCTCTCATTTTCCAATTAAATTCAATTTTCGTATTGGCCTCTCTTTCAACAGATGGTATCAAGGGGCAGGCTTGTGTTGGCTCCATTTACTCACCCCTGTTTAATTATGGTAATCAGATTGCCCCATAATTATCATCCTCTCTCTCCCTGATGCCCAGTTTGTTACTTCAGATTCAATGCTGATTTTCTTCTATAGCTGAGCCACTGAGCTGCTAAAGTGTCTCATACTGCATGGAGTGCAATTACAAAACCAGCTGGTTGACAGCCAGCAGGGAATAACAATTAGAGGAAGAAAGCTGATCTCTACCCACCAAAGTGAAGTAATCGAGAATTCTTTGACCTATTCCCCACTCATCTCTGTGCTCACTGATGTACACTGCCTCCCAGTCTATCAATGCCCTGATTTTAATCATCTTTGTTTTCAAACCCCACCATGGTCTCAACACTACCTACCTCTGTAAAATAGCATTATATTAAATAGGAGCAGGAGTAAACTTTTTGCCCCTTCAACTCCGCTCTGCCATTCAATATGATCATAACTGATCATCCAACTCAGTATCCTGTTCCCACTTTCTCCCATATCCTTTGATCTCTGTAACCCTAAGAACTATATCTAACACCTTCTTGAAACCATTCAATGTTTTGGCCTCAAATGCTTTCAGTAGCGGAGAATTCCACAGGCTCACTGCTAACTGGTTGAAGATTTTTTTCCTCTCATCTTAGTCCTAAATGGTCTGTGTGTCCTTAAACCGTGTTCCTTGGATTTGGTCTCCCTGTCATCGCGAACATCCTTGATGCATTTACCCTGTCTAGTCCTGCTAGAATTTTACGAGATTTCTAGAGATTTCCCCGTCAATCTTTGAAACTCCAGTGAATATAGACTTAACCGACGCAGTCTCCCTTCATACATCAGTCCTACCATTCCAGAGTCAGTCTGATAAACTGTTTTGTACTTCCTCCATAGGCAGGACATCCTTTGTCAGATAAAGAGATCAAAATTGCATACAATACACACTGCAGTCCCACAATCCTCCAAGGCCACTTCATTCCTCAATCTAAGATCTCTGCCATCATTCTAACCTCTTTTGCTTCACCATGGATGGCTGAGCCTTTATATGTCTAGGCCCTCATCTCTGGAATTCCCTCCAGAAACCTCTCTTACTCTACCTCCCTCTTCCTGAAAGAAACTCCTTAAAATCGGTCTCTACAATAGAGCTCTTGGCCACCTGTCTTCCTTGGTTGGTGTCTTTTTATGTCAAACTATATTTCTCTGAAGCACCTTGGGGTGTTTCAGTGACACTTTATAAGTGTAAGATGTTAAATTTGAAAGAATAGTCACAGTTAAATTGTTTTACAAGTCAAATCAGATGGTTTGTAACACACAGGGTTCCATCAAGAAACGCGTGTGAAATGCTTCATTAGCAGTGTGTAATTTAAATCCAAGTGAGGAAACATAGCAGGTAAGAAAAAGAGAAATTTCATTTACAAACCTCCTAGTGAGTATAAAACATAGGAAATAAGAATAAATGTCAACAGGATAAAAATTCAGTGGCCCCTGGTCACAGACACAATGTACCTGAGGTCCTGCAGCAATAGGACATGGTAGGTCCTGTCAAATGGCTCCTGAGCAGACTGTAAAAGTCATTTGGTAGCATGCCTCATTGCCAGAACTTACAAACAAGCATCGTTAGTGGTGAGAAAGGCCTTCCACACACTCGCGTCAAGGTTACTATGGGAGGGAACTGACTTGTTAACCTCCTTGTTGAATGTGTTTTTGCAGAGTTTCTATCAGTCGTTCACCCTGTGCAGAATCTGTGCCACAACAGTCTATGCTCTACTGATGGATTTCCAGGGGCACATACCAAGTAAACATCAACTGCACCAGGAGGATCATCAACTCAGTAAAAGATGCTTTTTGGTCTGCCCAAGATTTGATGAATCTTGTGCTTGACTGAGTGTTGAAGATGGGCACATTCCAAGGTCCAGGACTATGTGCTGAGGGCCACTGAAGCTTGGGACAGCCCCTGTAGAGGGGCAATGGGGAAAGGTAACTGTCTAAGACCTTTGAGCCACAGTACACAGAGGGGCTGGAAACTGTAGAATCCTCAGTCTTTGCATCTTTCAAAGAATGTACATTGTAAATAAAGAGTACTGTCAAGGTACCTCAGAGTGGAGCAAGGTGAAAATGTTAAATCTATTGCAGATTCTGTAATTTCCAATTTGAAATGTTTTGCCCTTGGGCTGTGAATCTGCCATGGAATGCATTTCACAGATATTACAATTATTAAAATTGCATAAGGTAGAATGTGCTGTGCTAGGACAATAGAATTTTCTTGCAAATTCTGTAATATTCAAGTCAAATGTTCTTTCAATTGTTTTTGTTTATAAATTTTAATAATAAAACTGATATTTTTGGAAATACAAACACAAGCCTGAATGAGTTGGCCCTAGGTCCAATGACCAGTGTTTGAACTGCTGGTATCTGGCGGGTATTGGACAGAATGAAATTTGGCCCAAAGTCTTACCGCCAACTGGTGGAAGATAAACCCTAGGAAGGGGAGAGTGAGTGACTCAGAGGGAAAAAAAGCCATGAACAAAATCAGTACTACTTGCAAATAAGCACATTGTTCTTATAGAGTCATAGAGTCACATAGCACAGCAACAGACCCTTCGGTCTGACTCGTCCATGTTGACCAGTTTCCCAAACTGAACTAGTCCCACGTACCTGCATTTGGCCCATATCCCTCTAAACTTTTCCTATTCATGTACCTATCCAAATGTCTTTTAAATATTGTAACTGTACTTGCATCTGCCTCTTCCTCTGGCAGTTCATTCCACGTACGAACCACCCTTTCTGTGAAAGAGTTGCCCCTCAGGTCCCTTTTAAATATTTCTCCTCTCACCTTAAAAAATGCCCCCTTATTTTGAACTCCCCCATCTGCATGAAAAAACCTTTGCTATAAGACCCTATCTATGCCCCTCATGATTTTATAAACCTCTATAAGGCCATCCCTCAACCTCATACACTCCAATGAAAATTATGCCAGCCTCTCCAGCCTTTCCATATAACTTAAACCCTCCAGTCTTGGCAATATCCTGGTAAATCTTTTCTGAACCCTTTCCAATTTAATAATATCCTTCCGATAGTAGGGCAACCAGAACTGTACACAGTACACTGGTCATACTGAACCTTTGTTTTGAAGTATATGAGACGAGTCAGACCAGTTTTATTGTTTTTTTTCTTCTAGTTTGTAGGAAGGCACTCCTGCTCCCCATCTCCTCAGGAACATGTATTCTTTATTTAAAAGTTTGCATTTCTTTGGTGGCCCTCTAATGAACGCTGGCCAATTCCCAGCACAGCAGGTATTGAATTCCGGTCCCTTCTCTCACCAAAAATACAGCCAGTTATCTCTTTAGTCCCTAAACTGACCTGCATAAAGATCAGTCTGGTAACATATTCCACCGGATGTAATTTGAATATGACCTAGTTTATTCATTTCTTATTCTTAAGCCCATGGACTCCACAATTCCTGGTGGGTTGAGAGTGTTGGTCATTGAATGGCCATTTCAAAAGGGGTAACAAAGGTCCTTCAGGGGGTGAAGTTTTTTTTGTTATTCCTTTAGCAAAAGTACTGTCAGCATTCATAGACAATCAGTACCTTCTAGGGTTGATTACTTTGGTCCTGTCAGATATTTGAGGCCTGTTGAAATCACAGGAACTGAAGCCTAATCTGGACAAAATGGAGGATTGCTGGGTTTAAGAGTTGGGTGCTGGCTGGAATTCCCCAGGTAGCCCCCAGGCTCCTCTTTCGTATCTCAAATGGAGTTGGGGCACAGGGTGGGGTTGGGGGTATGATATGACAAAAGAGCCCATCCTGAAGCCACATTAGATTTTGGAAGCAAAAATAAAAGGTGCAGAATCCTGGGGCGTCCGTACATCATGCCAGATTCCTGGAATCGCCACCACAATAGTTCACCTTCCCAATCTAATAAACTGCAATGGCCTGACTTCCCCTTTGTCAGAGGGAGCCAGTTGACAGTATCAGATTTGGTAACACCATTCATCATTTTAACAACATGAATTTATTCACCTTGGGTGAGGCAGAATGACCAACCCATGTGACTCACATACTCTTGTACACACACACTTATTCATATTGTCTCAATCTCATACAATCACACATACGCTTCACATACTCTTACAATATCCAACATAATCTCTCACACTCACACACATATATACAGATGTATTCAGTCTCTTGCATAAACACACACACACATACACGCGCGCTACCTTAACGAAGGATGCCTTTTTGAAGAATTCAGAAACACAGTCTTGTCCCTGTAAGGGTCAGAATAATGAAGAAATAAAGGAAATAAAATATTGTGAATATGTAAAATAGAAAGAGTCGGGTAGAATCAGAAATCAACAATGAATATGTCCAATACAAAACCAAAGAACTGTGAATGCTGGAAATCAGAAACAAAATCAGAAATTGCTGGAAAAACTCAGCAGGTCTGGCAGCATCTGTGGACAGAAATCAGAATTAACGTTTCAGGTCCACTGACCCTTCTACAGGACAAGGACTGAAGAAGGTTCTGAAGAAAGGTCTCTGAGTCTGAAATATTAACTCTGATTTCTCTTCAGAGATGCTGCCAGACTTGCTGAGTTTTTCAAGCAATTTCTGATCTTGTCTTTGAACATGGCCAACAGAATGGGCAAAGTAGGATGCCTGATTGAGAATGGGCTCACTCCTATCCTGGAAGTGGAATACTCTAAAAACATACCAGAAGCCCAGGCTGTCAATGCTTAGTCTTGCCACCAGCCTCCTGAGACAATGTGCTCTCAGCAGAGCTGGGTTCATTAACCACACTGTGCTGCTGCCACTGGTGCCCCAAAGAATGAGCTCTGAACTGACATGTTTGCTTTGAGGAAAAAGGCCATGGGAGATCAGTGAAATTACTTTAACCCTTCAAACATTTCCCTAGTTAATTAAAGGAAGGTTACAACCCCCTGACCCAACAGTCTTGGTGTGTAACCATGTGGAAGGTGGCGCTCACTTTATGTGTTTATCTTCTTCTTTCCAAAATAGACAATGCACATTTTCCAGTTCCCATTTTTCAGCTGCCAGACCTTTACCTCCTCACCTAACTATCTTAATCTTTTTGTAGCCTCCTTGTGTTCTCTTCAAAACATAGCCTCCCACCTATCTTGGTGTCATCAACAAATATGACATTTCTGTCTTCTGTCCCTTCATCCAAATCAATTATATAAATTATAAATGATTGAGGTGCTAGCACTGATCCCTGTGGCACACCACTTATTTCACCTTACCAGCTAGAAGGGAACCCAGTGATTTACAAGGATGGCTGCATGTGTTGAAAGTAAGGAATTTGATAAATTTTGTGAATCCTGTTTGTGTAGCTGTAGGTTCCAGCAAGGTGCAGACAAATTGGGGTCAAGTGGTTGGTTATATTTGAAACTGACTAATTTGTGGACTAGGGACCAAGTATTAACGACAAAAGGTCCTCTGCCTACCAACAACAAGATATGTATTTCTTTTAAAAATGTAACTTCTGTGATTACTTCAGGAATAGTGGGTTTTGATTTCCATTGTGCCACCCCAGTGAGTCTTGACATAGATGCTTTCCAACATTTTCCCTATAACAGGTGTTAAGCTAAGAAATCTGTAGCTTTCTGCTTTCATCTCCCATCGTTTTTGAATAAATGAGTCACATTTGCTACTTTCCAATCTGATGGAACCTCCTCCTTATATAAGGGGACCAAAACTGTTCAGAGTATTCAAATGTGGTCTCAGTAGTGCCTTGTATAGTTTTATCAAGAGATGATATTTTTGTACACCGCTCCTTTTGAAATAAAGTCTTCCCTATTACCAATTGAACTTGGATGCTTGCTTTTTGTGATCCATGCATGAGGATCTCCAAATCATTCTGTGCTGTATCTTTCTGCAGTCTTTCTATTATCTCTGCCAAAGTGCATAACCTCTCACTTTCCCACATTATATTCCATCTGCCGGGGTTTTGCCCACTCGTTTAGCCTATTTACATCTCTCTGTAGACTTTTTGTGTCATTCTCACCACTTGCTTTTCCATCTATTGTTGTGTCATCTGCAAACTTGACAATAGTACACTTACTTCCATCAATATGGAATATATATGTTATAAATAGCTGTGACCCCAGCACTAATCCCTGTAGTACTCTACTGGTTACAATATGCGATCCTGAAAACACCCCCCACCCCGTTAGCCCAACACTCTATCTTCTATTAGTTACCCAATTGACAATCTATGCTAATACAATAGCTCCAACACTGTGGGTTCTTATCCTATCAAGTAGCCCAATGTGTGGTACTTTATTAAATCTAAATCTGAAAATCTAAATATTACATCCACTGCTTGCCCTATATCTATCCTGTTTGTTACCTCCCCAAAGAATTCTGGTAAACTTGTCAGGCATGATTTCCCCTTCATGAAGCCATGCTGACTCTGCTTGATCATATTACGTATTTCTAAATGCTCTGCTATTACATTCTTTGTAATAGACTCTTAACATTTTCCCAATGACAGACATTAACCTTTAGTTATAGTCATACTGTTATCTGTATTCTGTCTCCCTCCCTTTTTGAATAACATGTTACATTGACAATTTTCCAACCATAGAACATAGAACAGTACAGCACAAGAACATGCCCTCTGGCCCACCATGTCTGTGGCGACATTGATGCCACTCTAAACTAATCCCTTCTTCCTGCACATGGTCCATACTCTATTCGCTGCCTGTTCATGTGTCTGTCTAAATCTGTCTAAACAGGTTGTTACCATATCTGCTTCTACATCTGACGGCATTTTCTTGGCACCCACTACATTCTATGTAAAAAACTTGCTTCACACATCTTATTTAAGCTTTCCCCCTCTCACCTTAAAGCTATGCTCCCTAGTATTTGACATTTTCACCCTTAAAAAAAACTGATTATCCACACTATCCATGCCTCTCATTTTATATTTTTCTATCAAGGCACCCCTCAGCCTCTGATGCTCCAATTTGTCTAATCTCTCTTTATGGCTAATGCACTTCAATCCAGGCAATATCCTGGTAAACTCGGTTTGCACTCTCTCCAAAGCATCCAAACCCTTCCTATAACAACCATAACTGCAGACAACATTCCTAATAATTAAAGCTTCCTATAGCTGCAACATGATTTGCCAACATTTATACTCAGTGCCCTGACTGATTAAGGCAAGCATACCATACACCTTCTTTACCAACTTATCCATTTGTGTTGCCACTTTCCAGTAACTATGGACTTGGAACCCAAGGTCTCTTTGTATATTAATGTTCCTAAGAATCCTGCCATTTTCTGTCTACTTTCCTCTTATATTTGACCACCCAAAATCCAACACCTCACATTTATCCAGATTAAAATCCATCTGTTATTTCTCTGCCCAACTTTCCAACTGATCAATAACCTCTGCGTACTTCTGATAATCTTCCTCGTTATCAACAAATCCACAAACTTTTTGTTGTCATCCACAAAATTACAAATCAGACCACCTACATTTTCATCCAAATCATTTATACATTTATTACAAACAACGGAGGGCCCAGCATTGAGCCTTGCAATACACCACTGGTCACAGACCTCTGTCAGAAAAACAACCCTCCACAACTATCTTCTGCCTTCTATTCCAAACCAATTTTGTATCCAATTTACCAATTCATTGTGGATCCCATATGATTTAATATTCTGTACCAGCCTACCACAAGGGACCACATCAAATACTTCAGTAAAGTCCATTTAGACAACATCCACTGCCCTACCCTCGCCAAATCATCTTTGTCACTTCCTCAAAAAACCTTAAGTGTTTCTTAGTGGTTGGCATATGAGGTTCAGCTTTACATGTTTGTTAAGGAATTCCAGTTTGAGTGCCAGGCCTCCAGGAATTCTTGAGAGTGTCTTTGCTTGGCTTGTCTTAGAATGGCTACTTTGTCCCAGTCGAATTGGTGTCCCTCTTTGTCCATGCGCATTGAAATGAGTGATAGTTGGTCATGTCTCTTGGTAGCTAGTTGGTGTTCATGAATCCTGATGGCTAGTTTCCTTCTGGTTTGCCCTAGGTAATGTTTTTTGGCTGTCTTTGCATGGTATCTTGTAAATAATGTTTGTTCTGTTAGTTATGGTTGTCGGATCCCTTATTCTTGTCAGTAGCTGTCATAGTGTAGCTGTTGGTTTATGGCTACCATGATTCCTAGCGGGCTGAGTAATCTGACGGTCATTTCAAATATGTCCTTAATGTATGGAAGGGTGACTAGTGTCTCTGGACATGTTGTGCCTTCCTGTTGTGGTCTCGTGTGGGTATCAACAGACTACGCTTTTTGGGTAACCGTTGTTTCTAAAGACGCTGTATAGGTGTTCTTCCTCGGCTTTGCATTGCTCTGGGGTGCTGCAGTGTGTTGCAGCTTGCTTGAACAGTGTTTTGATGCAGCTCCATTTGTGGGTATTGGGATGATTATTATTGCAGTTAAGTACCTGATCGGTATAGGTGGCCCTCCTGTGTACATCAGTCTGGAGTTCACCGTTAGCCATACCTTCAATCATTATGTCCAGGAAAGTAAGTTTGTTGTTGTTCTCCTCTTTCCTGGTGAATTTTATCCGGTGAGGATATTGTTTATGGGTAGATGGGTTTATTCCAGTTTAGCACGTTTGATAATCACAAAGGTGTCTTCCACATAACGGATTCATAGTTTTGGTTGTATGGTGGGAAGTGCTGTCCATTCCAGTCTTTGCATTACGGCTTCCGCTATTAATCCTGATATCGGTGATCTCATGGATGTTCTGTTGAGTTGTCCATATACCTTGCCGTTGAAGGTGAAGTGGGCTGTGAGGCACAGAACCAGTAGTTTAAGAGTGCCTTCTTTACTGATGGTATTGGTGTTGTTGGGTATCTGTATCCTGGGCCTGTTTAGTAGCGAGGCTAGTGTTTCTTTAGCTAAGGGGATGTTTATGGAGGTAAATAGTGCAGTCACGTCGAAGGAGATCCTGATCTCGTCCTCATCTATTCTGGTGTCCTTGATGATGTTGAGGAATTCTTGGGCAGCATGGATGGAGTGGTTTGGAACCGTCTACTAGGTGTTTCAGTCTCCTTTGTAGTTCTTTTGCTAGTCTATATGTCGATGTACCCGGTAGTGAGACTATGGATTTGAGGGGGACCTCCGGCTTGTGTACCTTGGGGAGTCCATAGAAGCGGGGTGTGTTTGATCTGTTTGGTTTCATTCTCTGGTAATCAAATTTGTTAATTTTGCCCGTTTTGTGTAGATTCTTCAGG